TTTTTAGTCACTCCAGGATGATTCGGCTTAATATTTTGTTAGGGGTGGACAGCAGCATGATTCTGCACCAGTTCTTGCAAAGACGTAAGTCTCCCTTCTTTGGAAGTTTGAAAAAGGTAACCCTTCTTCCAAACAGTAGGTACTTTCCTTCCTTCCAAAACCTTCTGCAATAGTAGTATGAGGATGTCCGCTATTGTCTCTGCATCTGTTTTCAGTGCTTCTGGTGGAATTCCATCTAGTCCTGCTGCTTTATTGCATTTCAGTAGCTCAGTGGCACTCAGGACATCACATCTGCTTTTGTCGGAGGGCTTGTGTTCACTGGCAATTCTGTGGCTGGGCAGCTGGTGGTATTTACGGACGAGTTGCAGGTGGTGGTAGTGGTGATCGATTCAAGAGTTTTTTGAAGTGGTCAGCCCATTGTTTCCTTTGTTCCTCTTCTTTGCTAACTGGGTTTCTCTCACCATCTTTCACTGGTTTCATCTGTGTTGATCTCTTCCCTCCCAGATAGTAACCTGGTCATTTGATATAGTGTTGTCAGGTCTCTGTCTCTCCTACCTGCAGACTGTTCTGCTCCAGTTGTCAGTGTGTCGTAGAAGTGTCTTTTGTCTTTCCATGGACTCTTCTTCGCTTCTTTGTCCAGTGTTTTATACATTGTACTCATTTACTCTTTCCGTTGTTCATACTTGCACTGCATTGGTTCATCTTCCTCTCACTGCTCTATTAGCTTCCATGTATGCATCGAGATCCTTTTTTGTCTTGATTCTTCTTCCCTCCTAACAATGTTATGCAGGTTTCTTTCCACAAACCTTTAAAAGGGTTCGAGTGTTCTTCCAAGCAGGTTTCCTCGGGGATGTTGCTCAGTGTCTCCCATTTTGTTCTGATTGCTGACGTGAAGATGTCCCCTAAAGTTTCATCCTTCAGTTTCCTAATGCATCAAATATGCAGAAATCTGAAAAACAGTTCTCCATCCTCATCCACCATTTCACCGAGTGCTTCTCCACCCATTATGTGTTGTCTGCTCACAGTTCGGCATTCATGTTGCCCATTAGAATTTTGATGCCTTTAACTGGAGTCTTGTCTAGTTTTGATTGCACGTACATATGTCTTGAAAATAACGAAATGAGTGTTCTGGGTTACACTAATAGGCACCATCCTGCAAATAGCAGCATAAGCAGGGTTTGAATTTTCATATAACTAAGGCTTCCGTAAACCTAGGTACACGGTTATGAGGGCTTCGTTATACTGGTCTAAAGGCTGTTTTGAGGTCAGTCATATGATATGTTTCAATATTTTTTTTATCTACCGATGATGATATCTATCTTGTCCCAGGATTACTTTAGCACTTGTATTTCCCAATCAAGCTAGAAACAAACAAAGCTGTTTTAACAAAAGTCTCTCTACTTAGTGCTAATAGCTTTATCAAGGGGTTTAAAACATTCCCACTCTTCCGTGATGACTTGATTTATGCTATACTGCATAAAAGAATTTGCGTTGTCGCAACGTTTAGTAAAATGATGGCCGTGTGTAGTATGTAACTTGCAATGAGCGTGTGAATTATCGATTGAGGCTTGTGTGTACATTAGCACTTATCGTTCCTATTTCAAGTCTTCGTTATGTCAAAGTGTTTGTGTGTGTGTGTGTGTGGGGGGGGGGGTTGGTTGAAAACAAATCAAGCCATCTCATTACCTCCGTATTCAGATAACAATGTGTTATATATTCCGAACAGATTTAATACGCACTCTTAACTGGCAGCTAACTTCGTACGCAAGAGCCAGCGACTACAAGCCAGGACGAATAGAAAAGAAGACCGAAGCTGGTTGGAAGAGTTTATTCTTCCGTGTATAATAATCAGTTAGTTCAAAAAACGTGAGCATGTATATACATCAACTATGGTCTTGTCCGTAAATTGAGGATTGAGCAAGGATTACTAAGTCAGTGAACTACTTGTCATGCTGTAAAATGATGTGAAAATGACAAGTTTAAAATGTTCAGGCCAATAACAATGTTTTGTGCAAAACTGATACTTTACAAAACAATGATCCGCTCTGTGTAGAGATTCGTCTGAGAGAGGCTTCTCACAATTTCTATAGCCTTTCTGAATAATAACTTAAATATTTCCAGAGTCATCCCTATCATCGGAAATTATAACGTGTAGAGCTATGATTCAAGAGTTTTCCAGATCCTTCAATTCTGCTAGGCTTCTAGAGAGTCGAGTGACAGCCCTCTGGTGTTCTTTTTATCTAACTTTGATTTCATATCAAGTTTGTTTAATGTATGTTGCATAACGGTCTCAGCATTTGATTCTGTTTGCGCAATAAAACTGAAAATCTTGTAGAATGTTGTCCATCAGAGATGTCAAAGAATTCCATAGTGTGTTTGACATCTTGTAGAACTCTTTGATATTGCTTTTGTTGAGCACTGTCTTAATTTCATGTGACATGTGACCTATATGGGATGAGAATTATCGTGGCCCATGCAATAATATCACTTTATCGGTCTAGTTTAATGTTATTTCCTATTTTGTAAATGTGTTTAACAGCATACTTATTTACAACGGGGATTTTGTTTCCATGCGTTAATTTCGACTCTTTTTTATTTTCGGTTGTTATTGGAGTGTGTTACCTCTTTAATATGCTGCAGACAACACAGATATTTGTACTGATGGGATGTAATGAAATGAAGTTTTGATATTTGATCGAATTTGTTTCTTTTCTGAGAAAAGTCAAGCTTGAATGTTCATTTTCTTTCTACTTAAATAGATAACCATGAAAGATTAACCAACCTTTACTTATTTCTTTTGCTGAGATGAACTTTATACTGTGCGACTCAATATTCAACTAACTAAAGAATACTCGGTACATGTCACGTTTTCAAGCTGCTAACGCGTCATTAATACATCATCTTAGCTACATTTTCAACCTTTATAAACATGCTACGAAACTTTCTTCAAACTTCCTTTTAAACAGTTCAATTACTTTGAATGAAAAGGTGAAACAGATGTAGCTACACCTTAGTTTGCCTGCATAATTTTCACTTATATTTGATGCATTTAGTCTCTATGCCTATTTTAAGAGCCAAGATTATGTCACTGGTACTGGGTAAAAGGTGGTTGTTTCTCCAGTCATTTCGGGATATGTTCTATCATTCTTCACTTTAGTTCGAATACTTCTCCTAACTTATGCCTCCACACAAACATGTAAGTTGGCATACACATCATGGTGTGGCGTAATCATCTCTGCAGCAAAGAGGTATGCGTTGAAGTATGAGTTTTGTCTCCTTAAGTACAATAAGTTTGACTGTATAATAAGATCTTTTAACAACTGGCTACTGCCTTCACCTTAAAATGTGATGTATACTCCCTTTTTATATGGAATACTGGGTAGGCTGTAACTTTTAATCATTTTTAAACAGACTGATGAACTTCAAGGGAAGGGTGTCAGGAGTCTGACTGCTTATTTCACTGTGTATGTTGTGCAGATATACTAAGTTTTCTTAAATATGAACTGTGCTAAACCCCATATTTTCCACACTAGACAAAAGCTGCAGAAATGAAGGTTCTGTCAGACCCACTTAGATTTTCAGTCAACTTATCTTTCTGTTGGGATGTCGTTGCTTCCAGTCTAAAATAAGTCCAGAAAAAGTTAGTGATTGAAATTTTCCACTTCACACGACAAAATGATATTGTTTCTCCATATCATTTTTCATTTTCAAATCTTGCATTATCCTTATTTATTTTTCTCACCCCACTCTCTTTCCAACTTTCATATCAAAATACCCTGACAAGTAAATGTATGAGCGAAATGTTCAAAATGCATTGTGCAGACACACCACATTTCTCAGACAAACTTGTTCTTATTACATAATGTCAATTAATTAAAGGAACTAACTGTTTTTCATTCCACTGTGTGTGACACTTAAAACTGAACTACTTTTCAGTCAATAATTTGTTCACTTTCCTATATAAAGTAGGTGGGTAAGTACCTTTATATAATTGCTCTCTACTATCTCCCTCATTATCAACATAGTACTGTCCATTCATTTGCTTAGGATGTAGAATGACACTAAAACAATGGCCTGATTATCAGTAGCTTCTCAGAAAATGAGAGCTGTAACAATCGATCGCTTCAGTAAACCTTTCCGTTGTGACAAAAACCAGCGTACTGTGTTTTTAGCCAATAGATATATGCTGCCATAACACATAATTTATACATTATTTCCAAATATTCATTTCTCTGGGAAACACACATGAAATATCTTAGATTTGTGCGTATCTATAATGGAAGCTGCACGATTGTGGATTATTGGTTTTGAAAAATTGATGAACGATGATATCAGGATACTCAGGTAATTTAATAAATTCTAACACAGTAAATTTGCTTTATGATAAAGTACTTCGATCAGTGATTGGTAGCTAATTTAAATTGTATTTTGGTGAGACCAGCTGTTTCCTATCTCACACCAACCATCATTTCCAAATAAAAGCATTGTGAAGTCGCTAAGTTTGCTGGATAGTTTTCAGCCTTGATGAAATTGATCTGCTAAACGTAAAGCAATGTGTGACATAAGGTTGGTTGCTTTTAAGTAATTGACTAGCGCAGCGTTCAGTCTACATCCCAACTCTAATTTTCAGGAAAGTCATAATCAACTTCTGAAAATTCTAAGCATATTCCAGTTCTCCTAGTAAGAGTTCAGAAACCAGTGGTAAATTAGTACGGTTATAAGCATGAGAAAACACCAGTGAAATTCAGCTGTCACTCGGATGAGTTATTCGAAAGGAGGGCTAAATTCGTCTGATCTACTCAAGATAAAATGTACTGAAAATGAATAACTGAAAAGTGTAAAATATTAGCACAAATTAGGAAAACAACAATTGGAAGTTTTTAATGAGTGAAATGTGACTGCTGTAATCTCAATTTAATTTTGACCAATCAGGTTGAAGATAATTTTTAATGAAACAGATATCTGCATATCACTGGTATATAAACTTGCATATGTCAGTATGCATTTCCATAAAATCTAGAAGTCTTTGAATCAGTATTCTACCTTAACTTCATGATATGAAGTTCATACTGGTATGTTAAAATGATATGAACATTTATTGTTTTCTATGATGTATAATAAACGAAAGGTTATATTTTTCTTGTGCATCGTTTTATTCTTCTCTGTGTTTATGATTTATCCTAGGCATGCACTATCACACTGATTTCTGTGTGCTCAGTTGTTTTTGGAGCCCAAAGTCTCAGTGAATGTAATCGAAAACTGCAGGATTCAATGAGAACTTGTTTTGGAAAATATTCGACTAGAAGTAGTGAGTTTAAATAATAATCTGTGTTAATTAACCCAAAATACTATGAAAATCTGAACTTTCCTTGTAATGTAGACTTAAGTAATGTTATAACTGCAGTTCGTGATGAGTAGTAACTAGGACTATAGTTTTTCATTCCTCTATAAAAAGGATGAGAATTTTGGTTGCAATTCCAGTAATTCCGATCAGTCTTAAACAGTTCAATCTACCTCAGTGATACGATAATAAATATCTGTATTTAAACTGCTATAGCCAAGAAAGAAATAAACGCACAGTCAATATGATCACAATATCAGTCAGGATGCTGCATTTTGCATCGTTTCTGTGAAAGCGAAAAATTCGTATCCCCTTGCTTTAGATAGTATGGTTCGAATCTTATCATATGAGACCTTTAATGTCCAAAAAATCTATTTACTATTGAAAATGGAAATGTTTTTTATAACCATAAATGTTGCAAACATGAACATCAGTCCCCTCACTCTTCGTTCACTTTATTTTTTATTAATTCTTATTCTGCGGTGGATTACCAGTAAAAACTTATTTGGATCCACCAAGGTTAATGCCTTACATCAAGTTTACATACTATTTGATTTACAAAAATGGCTGATATAAGAGTAGCTAATACTGAATCTTTGAAGTAGTGAGATCGTCTAAATGATGCAATGTTTATACTGACTACATTTTATGTAGTAACTAATTTGGTGTATGCATCAATTACGCTCAAAATTTCGGTGGTGTATTTGTGACTGTAATGCATACTGCTACTGTTGAAGGTATAATTCATAGTTTGCAAAACCTTTTCGTTGTGGATTTTGATTATTTCATAATCTTTTAAGCTATCATACAAAGAAGCTTTGAATGCTTGAAATTTACTAAATATGATTCCAGATATTCATAACCAGGTGAAATGAATGAGTTTGTTCCCCACTTCTAAATTAATAAATTTTTTAGACTACTAAACATGAAGTTTGTGTGTGAGATGTGTTGATCACTTTTTCTGAACTTTTCTTGGATTATATGAACACATTCCAACGAAGTAGGGATGGATTTGTAACCTACTTTAAGTATCATAAGTTTCTAAACTATGTTCATATTTTTATGGAAATTTTTCATCTTGAAATGATTCAGTTCAAAATACATCACTCATTCATTCATTCGAAATTATTCTGATTTGAAAAAGATCTCATGTAATCGTTTATTGTTTTAAATGTGCGTTTTAAATTAATCTAATCGGCATAACTCTGTTCTATGTTATTATCATATGTTCCTAAGAAGAAACTTCATAACGAGATCATATTTCAACTTACTAATGTAGGTTTTTACCTATTGAATGATAGCTATCGCGAGAATAATAAAGTATTATCTGATAATAAAAAAATATCATTTTCCAGTAAATACACTTTCATTTAAATTGCTCAGCTGCTTGACATTTTTATTTTATTCTTGCTTAGGAAAGTCTAGTAGTGGAATGGATGTCAGCCAAATGAAACAGGCATGTATGAAAGATACCAGATGTAAAAAGTCAGCAAAAAATTGTCTTCTAACGGAATTAAAAAGGTCTAAGTTTGCTGGATGTGCAGCTGCCAAGACATACATAAATTCGGTTTCACGTATGTACTAGTAGAATTTATCATTATGTGTATATGATTATTATTGAAGCTCTTTCATCTATCGTGTGAATAAACAACTGATGATGTAAAATGTGCTTCTTTGTGTAAATTTGGTTTTTATGTCAAGCTGAATGGATGCAGATATGTACCTGCTGAAGAGAAATATCTAAAACTCATGACATTGTAACTCCACATATTAAAAAGTTTCACCTGTTATAATGTCTGACAAACTCCCCAAGAACACAAGCGATCTCAATCAATAAAAGTATGAATGCTCCTAAATATGTGTAACGTAGCAAACCAGTATGGGAAAATCAAACATTTTTTGATAAGATACTTTCTGTCTATAAACCATGCAGTTAGGTAACAGGGTATCATTTAGGGGTTTGGTATAATTCTGTAAGAAGCTACAAACAGGTTTGCCTTATGAGACGTAACTTCTCAAAGGGTACCAATATTAGCAGGAGATTTGGGCAAACGTTTTGGGAGATTTTAGATCATAAAACTATCATAAACTTCAGTGACAAATATCTTTGATCTGTAATTATAAGTTGATTTAATTAATAAACTGATTCTCTCATTTATAAATAGCCTACTATAAACCATAGAAGAACTAAAAGAGAATCGGAATAACATATGAGGTTTTGCACAACAGAAGAATACTCACTCAGTTTTATCGCGATTCAACAGTAGAATGAATTATTTCTAATCTATACGATAATCTCGATGAAGCCTTATTATTTTACAAAACTTTATTTTTAAATGTACGATTTAGTAGAATACTCTAAACCGGATTTGGTAGCCAGTAAAGAGATTTAAATTGACGCTGCGAATTGCTTCGAGTATTTCGCAAGTTAAGGCAACATGATTTCTGTCTTTCAGGTCTGAGTATGAATGATTATTTTGGATTCTGTCACTGGAACTTCAATAAGTTCTACAAATCTATGGTAATGACGGTGATATATCTATAAAAATCTGATAAGGACCCTATTTTTCCTGATTACTAAGAACAAACAATCTGGTCAACATCATCGAGCTAGGTGTTCGCATATCAGCTCTAAAATGACTTCACGTATTCAACATCTATTTCATGCAATAAGTCCAAATAGAACTAAACATACCTAGACTGAAATAATGATGACAGTATTTGGGTACGTTAAATAGTCCTAATCAAACAGACAAACAAGTAACTGAATAAATCACTTGAAATCCAGCACAGAAAATATCTAAAATTGAAATCGATTTTGACGATTTGGATGTAGAAACCCATTCAGTACTGTCAACACTTTTGATCAAACTTTGCTGATCACCGATCATACGAATACTAGACTATGGTTGCCAAATTAGATTTTGCATGGCACTTTGAAATTATTAATTAACAATACTGAAGGGTTAGATATTATAAAACTACAAATGAATTCTGAACTTCCGATTAAATTCTGCGTATTTAAAAGACAGAAACTGTTAATTACAAGGTATGCACCTGTGATGACGTTACTATGAACAGCCAACAAAAATCATTTTGCAAGTCAAGATTAAAATGTAGGTTACTAGGTAGACAATAAGTCCCTTACAGGAACTGCCACACCATTCTTCTGTTCAGATAATTCATATTCAAGACTGTTAGGTGTTTTAGTATTCGTACTATGTACGTCATAAATAGTTTATCAATTGTTATCTTACGAATAACTCTAGAGGTTGAAGAACAAGTTTACTATATGGATAAAAGTTTCAACCTATGGTCAAAGACAGAATTTTTCAAATCAAACATTTCTTTCCAGCGCTAATTTATTAATAATGCTTGTGACAGATATTTTCAGCTTTCTGGAACCTTTTCTATCAGTTTCAAGTCATGTACTTAGCTAGACCGGTAGTCCACCTTGCATATCTCAATGATCCAACAAGTTACGCCTGAGAAAACTCTTGGTTCTTTGAAGTCCCATTATATCAGAATATTATGTTGGATAGCGGTAAGACAAAGAGCAGTTGTCATCATAATGCAAATTACTACAATGAGGGTTCTGGGGCAAAGAAGTATGACGGCAATAAAATGTTTCTTGCAGATTACCTGCAGTACTGTGCTGATTCTACCTTCTCCATGGGAAGAGGAACTAGAAAAGGTCAGCCTCAAGACTAGGACAGTCTTCCATGTCCTACGGTCTTCTAGTGTCGATAGTACTGGTTTTCTGGCTGGCTGCAAACCAACTAAGGCTAAACCTCAAACTATCAAAAGGTTATGTGTGACCGAACGTAAGCAGATGTTCCGTGGGTTATGCTGACATGAACTTCCATTGCCATTACAATTACTTTTTCAGGTCCCACAAGAAGAAGTAATCTCCCACAATGTCCAAAAACTTAGAAATGTCAAAGACCGTAACAAACCTGTCAGCACTCAACTTCTCTGAGCTCATTATTAGACTTCATCATTTAAGCCTTCTAATCCTTCTTCAGGTCTCTCGGCCAACGCTTTTGCGTCATATTTTATTTCTTCCAACTCTTGACAACAGTTTTCGTTTACGAAAAAGCATCACCGATCTGATATCACACAGTCAGCTACACACTGGGGCTTGAAATATCAGTACCCCATCAAATCGCACAAAAAGGCTCAGTAAACAAGCATATGGCATTTAGGGCCATGAACCTGTGCTGTTTCCATGAGACGCACTAACCCAAACTCAGTGGATAGCACAGGTAGATCATATTGCTATCAGTTACCATTGAAGAGGGTCGGTGGGAGATTACCGCTCCTTTTGAGTCGTGTATCTGAATGGTAATCTTACGTAGAATGGAGAACATGTGTATCTGTATTAAAATAGATAGATAGATAAAAGAAACCTTACGCTATTATTAATCAACTATAGGAACAACGTATAAGACCTCAACTGACCCTCAGAATGATATTGGAAAATGTCAGTTGATCTCAGCAGCTTCTGCAAAACATGATGAACCTGAACAGCAATGTGTAGGCTCTGAACGCAATGAGAACCACGAGCAACTCAACATAGACTGACGAGAAGTCTGAGAAATGACCGTGAGCAATAGTTGGTAGTAAAGGCTTGAGAGATGAAAAGGTAACAGCCATAGGTAACGGCAGACAATTATTCAGATTCATCGAGGAAACTGAGCAACAATTCAATGTCTAGTGACAGCGGTCAAGGAAGATCCGTCCGTTATTTTCTCACAGGGTATGAGACAGGAAAGATAGGCAGAACACCTTGACCTCCAAATATCATTCTATTGCCCACTATACAGCCCGATTCCGAGTGGTTATCCAGCTTATTCTGAGACGAGAGAAGAAAGAAAGCCACTATAGACTAATATCACCTGTGTGGGTCAGTGATAGGAGGAATCTCATCACGTATACACAGGCCCTATCGGTTTTTGCCATTTGTGAAACCACTGTGATATCCAACTGTCTATTATGGGCTGAATGTATCGTGCTAAAGTTCGCTACGTTCTAGTTTATAGCTATGAAACGGTAGAGAAGATGAGAAGGCTTTAGTCTTTTAACCACCGTTACCTTCATAGACTAGGCCATTTGTCATGGTGTCACCACGTCAGTAACTTAAAAGTTAGGCGTAGAGTTTTGGGCAGGAAAAAGAAGTTACTTTTTGAGATTGTGAATCTCCATCAACTCAGGTAGCGAAGATATGTCTTAGCTGCAGCACTTTCAGGCTGTAAAAAGTTTAGAGACAGCCAGACTAAATCATGGCATCAGTCTACGAAGCCTGTAACCATTGGCCTGTGCCGTATGGACAGAATGTAGACTTCCAGGTTGGAGACTGTGTGAAAACTAAAATCGGTGACTCTAGGCGTTGAACCACTTACCCCATTCAGAAAAGCAGATGTATATGCATCTCATCTCCATGTTATTCATAACACTAATTTGATCATTGTCTTATTCCTCTTGTTTCTCTTCTCACAACTTCCTACCACTTTTGGATACAACACTATTACGGTGGTCAAACGCTTTAGTTCACATATGAGTCTCAAACGACGAAACCAGTATCCAGAAAATACCCACAGATTTAATAAAAATTCTCATGACAACTTGGAAGTGTCAAAAGCACTGGCTAGATGCTCCCTGATGTATTGGAAGAAACTTCAAGAATGTTATATTCAAGTTCAGAGTAGTGTTTTGTGGTGAAAAACATTGATTTGATATATTACAGTGCTTGTTACACGCAAGCTATTGTGACTGGATAAATCACAAATTTAGTATTCTTTGTACTGAAAAATAAGGACGAAAGAAATATAAAACACAGAAACCCTTAATCAAACGCATGAGACTGTTGGATAAAGCTGGTGAATATGCCTGATGCTGAGCCCACTTATGCTTTTCGATATCATATAATGTCAAAACAGTCTTACTTATTAAGGAATTTTAACAACATGCACCCTTCACTTGAATTTACTTGTGAAGAACATAATAAGGAGCTGAACTTCCTTTAAGTTCTACTAAGTAGACTAGGAGATGGACTAGTTTGCAGAAATGTGTACAGAACAAACAAATCTGCATATAAATACACAAACTTCCTTAGTTCCACACCTGTACGGTTCAAAAGAGATTTAGTGAAGTTTCTGATAGGCAGAGTATGGGAAATCTGCTTAAACGACATTCGACAGAGTGAGTTAGGAGTCCATTCGAATTCACTAAGTGAAATAAGTTATCACCGCAATTTTAAGAAAAGCACATAGAGTGGGTGGAAGACTTGAGTCAGTAACTGTTCGAAAAGAACCACTATTCATAAACCTGCATTTTAATGGTAATATTGTAGTGGGCGTTGCTGAGAAGAATGAATATAAGTAGCATATGTTGAGAGGGCTGCAGAAATCATAAAGAATTACTAGCAACAGGTAAGGATTCTGCCCGGAGAAACACAAAAGACAACGCGGGCGTATAAAGAGCAAATCGAGAGGAGCAGAAGAGGAAATGAAGCACATTTTGCAAATGACTGTCTCAGTGAAAGGTGTACTATATTCAACGACTATTGTACCACATGAAAGTAATAAATATTCCTTCCTCTGTACCTGTTTTCTCGTTTCCCTCAATACACTTAGTGAGATCTTATTCCACGAGCCGTTCG